GACAGTCTCGACTGTGTGCTGAGACTCTTCTCATCACCATCTTTCGTTTGATGGCTGGACCAGTCAGCGACATGAGACAAGAACAGAGGCTTGTAGGCTTGTGGCAGAATTTGGTTGCAGTGCACTTCAACAACGATAATTTGTTTGTCAGGGGACATAAAAGGAAGCCAAAAATATGAGAGGAGAAGTTGTATGCTGCTTCCCATGGAGTGATTCTTATCTTCTCGCTTCTCAGGTTTCTCTGACTGGTTTCTCATGTCTTTGTATATATATATATATATTTGTTTTCAACAAGTTCCTCGCTGCCAGACTTGTGGGGGCATGTCTCCAGTGTCCAAATCCTCCTTGGCCCGTGGAGCGGACTCTCCTGGAATAGAAGAGAGATCAACAGGAAGAGATAAGAATGCCCAACATGACATGACATAACGCGTTTATTCTTCTGCAAAATCACCTGTCTAGAATCGTCTGCGCTCCACGTACCCCCTGAATCTGAAGGAGGATACATGTTTCATGTTTGATCACCGATTGAGGGATTTTCGTGGGATCACCTGCACGATTTGCCCAAACGTCCTGAGACTTCGCGGTGGCCGGCGTGGGGGGCGGGCGGAAAGCGGCAGCGGTGGGCTTCGCAGCGGTGGGCTTCGCAGCGGCGGCGGCAGCGCCGACCGAGTGGATCTGAGGCCTTCACTGCCCGTGATCAACACATCTCACTCCAGGCTGCAGGTGGGCTGTACCTGGTGGTTTTGGTGGTGTTTTAGCACTTCTCAAGCCCAGAGCCCTTTGGAACGGCTGGTGAGTCTGGGTGGGTGGTGGGTGAGTTTTGTGCCTGCTACATTGCTGTAACAAACCATTTTCCGCCCGACATGTGAAGCCCCCTCAAGCCCCAAAAACATTGAAACACTTGGTCTTGCAACTCTGGAACAACTTCGACAACAAATCGTATTGACGCCACCTCTACAAGGTGATCAGCGTCGTACCACAGCGTCTCAATCCGCGCCAAGCGATGGTCTCTTGGACGCTGCGGCTCCAGGTCTCTTGGACCCTCCTCAATGACGGTGGTACCAACGTCACTGGCCTGGGCAGCTCAGGAACGTCAACCGCGTAGGCCATGACGTCGGGTCGTTTGGGTCAACGAATGGCATTCGACATGGCCAAGAGCCGTCCTTACACGATGCTACATCAGCGGCTTTGTGGTCCATCATACACTTTTGCCGTGTGATGTGTACTCTACTTGAGGGCTGACATCTCTCCATTCTGTTGCCGTGTGGTTTCCAAAGCGAACCAGGCTTTGAGGTGGAGTTGGCAGAGTCAGGTGGGGCTGCTTTGCCTTCCAGACTGTCCAAATTCCATAGAGATTTGAGTTCTCTCACAGCAAACTTGGGATGATTCTGGTCTCCACATCAATTTCTGTCATCACCTCAATCCTGTCACCGGGCCAGGCGAAGCCTTTGAAGCAGCCCTCAACGTATCTGAGCCGTGGTGGTCTTAACGCAGTCTTGAAGCAAGCCGTAGCCCGAACGCACATGGACACGTGGAAGAATAGGTGTCCATCGATTTCCCTAGCCTGATTTCCCAGAAACTAGGCCAGCCACAACAACTCAAGAAGGTCAGGAATACAAAGATCCGTGCCGAGGTTTGTCACGATCAGCGGCCTATTAGGCAACATCACCTATCGAGTCGTGGTGCCCAAAGTAGATCGAGACAAGGCGCTCGCATCAATCGTTGTCAAGGCACTTGCACAAACGTCGTAACCGTACTCGCAATGAAGCCAATTTTTACTTTTTTGCCAGATGTTTGTGGGCTTTTTGTTCTGGAAAGGGCAACGAAAATAGCCGATGCTTGTATATTTTCTCTTTATGCTCATGTAAGTTCCTTGTCCTGTCTAAGCATCAACATACACATCAACTAGTGAGCGCAAAGTGTACTGCTGGACATGAGGTTATCAGTCTGCTCATCTTTATTCTCATTGTGCTGCTGTATTGCAGCGGTATTCACGGACAACAGGACTTGCTTTCCGGAAAGAAGCCTGATAATTGATCGCTTGAGGTCCGGATACGCGCCCTCAGCACTGGAGGCAAGCCAAGAAATGCCAAGAATAATGATGCATCAGGTATGGAAGCCTTGGGTTTGCATGCTTTATATATATCACTGATAGTATTTGACTCTGTTCATTTTGGCTCAAGGTACCTTCAAAACCCAGGACATCCTATCAGAGACTAGACCTTTCCTGAACGAATCGGAGACCTCACTCGGGGGAGATCCTCACCATCCGCATATCTCCAGAGCCAACTCGGCCGGCCCCGCAGATCGTGCCGGTCGGCACGCCACGAAATGATGGACCCAGACATCGGGTGACCTTTCTCCGATTCGGAACGGAACGGGCGGAGACCGGGGGATGTGGGAGGCCGCTCCTATCCCAGTCACATCGCGGAAGCGACCACCGATGCACCGGCACGGATGCCTGGTCTTGGACAGGTTGGAAGTCTTGATGAGTTGCCAAGAGTGGGATTGGAGTTGCTCTCGATGTATTTTGGAGGGTTTTTGCTACAAGTGATTTTGATTCACTTAAAATCCACAAATATGACATGCTGGTTCTCCGCTCATCGGGTGCCATGACGTCCTACAACGTCCTCTACGACGACGTCCAACCATTTCCTACGACCTTTGACGTCCCAGGTAGTCCCTGATGCGCCAGCGGACCTGCGCATGGAAGCGCTGGCACCACACACGGCACGAGGGACGGGGCCGAACCCGGCACCGGAGGACGGATGTGTGCTGATGCAGGGAAGATAGGTAGGTCCCCAATCCTCCCAGGTCCCTTGGTCCATCCTTTCAATCCTTGCCTTGATCTTCATCTCTGTATCAGAAATGAAGATGATGTCCGTTCGGTGCCGTTCGGTGCCTTTCGGTGCCCCTGGGCCTTTGTGGGCCTGTGGAGGTCACCGAACACATGGTTTCGTGTCGCCAGGCCTGGCTTCGATTTACAGCACCGTTGGACGAGGGCGGCCGCCCTGTGGAGGAGGGGCAGGGGTGGAAGCGGCTGCGGCGTCTCGGTATGTGTGAGGAGCCGAGCTTCCAACAAGAGCAACTTTTGACTGGGTTGTGGATTGTGGGAATAGGCTTTCAGAACTTTCATGATGGGTGATCGAAAGTTAGGTTTATTTTGGGAGTTTGGGAGTTTGATATTGTATCAGCCTGTGGCCCGCCAGCATATGCAAGGTTTAAAGAAAAGGAGACCTGTTTGGGGCCTGGGGTCTGGTTTGAGCTAGTTGGAGCCTTCCACCCACCAAATCTTTTTCTTTAAAAAATCTGATGGTGCTTGACCCAGACGGATGGTACCGTTTCAGTTGGCAGGGCTACGAGATTCTGGTCACGACGGAAGATGCCCAGTCTGTGGAGACTTTGCATGTAAACGCTTCACAGGCACATCATGAGAGATCCAAACCAGAGTTGAGCTCGAAGTTGGAGACAGTGACAAAGCACTTGACATATGATGAATCTCAGCCCTAGCCAGAGGAGTAAAGCGATTGATCCTTCCAAGCAACTTTGCTCTAGTGAGTCGAGTCGTCAGCACGTCTTGATTGTCGGGAAGGGCAGGTTGGTGAAGTTGAACCGTGGCAGCCATGGCTGCAGGTTGATGTGGAAGTCCTTCGCCTCCAAGGATCTCAGTCTTATGAGCCACTCGACCTTTGGCCCAACGCTGATCTGTGCTTGCCGTCGTTCTTTTCTCTTCAAGAGGTTTTACTTCAGCCAACGTGGATGTGGACTGGAACAGTTTGTAGTTTGTGTGCTTTGATTGACCCTTCCGCATATTCATATACCCAGAGACGGCCTAGCGTACTGTAGATGCCCTGCCACACCTCGTGCCAAGGTTTCTTGTGTTCGCTTGGAATGCAATTGGCAGGCCTGACAGATCACGAAAGGTAGCCCTTTAGGGGATACCTTGAGTTTGTCTTGCAAAGCAAGTGTTGGCGCGTCCGGGTCTAATAATTGATCATTCAATTCAACCCCCCCCCCTCGAATTGATTTTTCAATACAGACCCCGCCCCCCCCCCCCCGCATTGAATTTTTCAATACAGACCCCCCCCCTCCCCTCTAAATTCAATTCTCTCCTGGAGAACGTGTTCGTGAGCCTCTCATGATTTCAGGATAGTTGAAGCCCTCTTGAACATTCAGAAAGAGTGCATATGAAATTCTAATCACGAAAGGTGTTCCCCGAGGGGATACATACCTAGAGTTTGTTTTGTGAAGCACGTCTATTCTCTCCTGGGGAACGTCTTCGTGAGCCTCTTATGGTTTCAGGATAGTTCAAATCCTATGATGCTCCGATTCAATGCTCACCGATGATCTGAGCCATGGGGCGAGTTTGTTTTCCTAAGAATCTTTTTGAACATTTCGAGAGCATATGTTTGAACATTTAGAGTCGAGTGCATATGCACATATATTTTCGAAAGGTCGCCTCCGAGGGGATAAATCACCATGTCGAACATTGCATTTTTGTTCCTGCCTCTCGCGTTCTCTTCTCTTCCCGCTGTCCTACCTTTCGTGTCTCCCTCCTCTCAAGTGGATCTGTGAGCAAGATGGGTTCTGTTTGACTTCTAGTACACCTTGAACCATTCTGAAAACTGGCAACAGGGGCAGCAAATACATTTGCTCTTCAAATATGTTTGTTGGAGTCATCCTTGGATCCTCAGCCTTCGCAAAGCTGGAACTTGGACTCCTTGGTTCATCTCTGTTGATGTGCAGAGCTCCATCTTGTTCACCCATGAGCCGAGCGTCCGTTGCTTCAGATCGAGCTCCGGTACCTCAGCAAACCTCACAATGCCTGAGCCGGAAGAACCTGGCGAGCCACAAGGTGGGGCAGATCGGGAGATCATTTTTGAGGACTGGGGCGAAGGATGAAGGACTTTGAAGTCAGTTTAGCTGCCTAGGGATGCCCTGCATGCCCTGAAAAAGGGGCCGAGTTTCTCAGAGTGACATGATTCCCAAATCTTCTAGTTCCCAAACGAGGTCCAATCACTGCTGGCTCCTTGAGCCACCCATCAGGCATCCAGCTGAGCAATCTCAGCCTCGAATGGTCGGCACCCTCACATGACGGAGGGGCACGGATCGAAGGCTTTGAGGCAACCAGACGGGGCGAATGACGGGGGGACACGGGAGTGGCAAAAGCACGAAGACGTTGAGGTGTTGAGGTGAGAAAGTATCAGAGCTGATGGTTTGTAGATATTTCTTCCAAAGGGTTGGTGCCTAATCCTTCCAAGTATTCCTTGTACTTGTCTTGCCGGTGATTTGCTAGAGCATTCCTGCCGCTTGCTGTGGATGCACAGGTTTGGTCGCAGGTGGATGAGGGAGACTGGGCCCTCGAGGCGCTGGCCGGCACGGCCATGTTTGGATCCAATGAGGTTCAGTGTCAGAAGGATCCCAAGGGTCATGAGGGAGCCAACGGCGGCCTCTGTTGAAGAATTGTTCAAGAAGGTGTGGAGTCATAGGTGTGTGATTCCCAATCTGTGCCGTGATACCGGGAACGCGTGAACGAGCACATGGTCCTTGAAGGAACCTGACAAACTGTATGCACCAGTTTTTTGATGTTTTGTGTCCGCGTGATGCACGAGTCCATGAGACCAGAATTGCTTGCCCATGTCATGTCGTGAGGATGGAGAACTATGCTCAAAGACTTGGCCGACTTGACTCCAATTTGAGCTTTTGTGAGAGCTTTTGTGTCCAGGTGACTACCAATGAGACAGCCATGAATCTCACGGGCATGGTGGGCGACACACTCTACAGGCAGCACGCATTTCTGTGCTGGAAAAGGACTTGGATCTGAGTGGTTCGGGTCGAGTCACCTCAGGTTTGGGCCGGATGTTTGAGACGTCAGGCCCATTCTTTCATGGCGACCGGTCTGACCATTCCAAGGGCAAACAGCTTGATGTTCATTCTCCAGGGTTCGACTGTCAATTCATGTCATGGCGTGACAGGGGAGAACACGACGACCTACAGACATGGCGTGATCCCCGTTGCAGAGAGAACATGACCCCCTTCGAACTTCCCGGCCACGCATCTCATGCGCTTGACATTTGCTCTGGGAGGTTTCAAGTCAGAGCTTTGAACCGAGTGGGGGCAGGCAAGAGGGTCCGAGCGTCGTGAACACAAGGGGTCGTACTGACTTTTGTGGCAGTTCCACCGTGGACACTGTACATTGACATGTCATCCCCATACATCATGAAAGAGAGAATGGTTCCAGTTCAGGAGCAGTGGGACATGGCTGTAGTGTTAACTGAATCTAATCAAAAATAATCTTTGTGTAAGTAATGCCCTTGTTACTAGTAGCTTCTTGCTACTAGTAGCAATGCCCTTGCTACTCATAGCAAGGGTGTGAGTCCACATCTGCCAGCGCCACATCCACTGGGACCTGCGAACGGCGGCCCAGGCGCCTTTGCCGCCGCCGTGGAACTGCGAACGGCGGCCTCGGCTCCGCCGGCGGTGAGGCGAGCGCACCGGGGGGGGGGAGGGCGGTTGAAGCCATTGACAAAAACCCATCCGCCGGCGGGGGGAGACTCTCGACACAATTTTGCTTTCAGCATAGAGAACAGCAAGGCATCGAAAACACGATGGTCCTCTTTTAGCCAAATGCCAAAGGCATCCAATCTTCTTTGGGGCCCTTCAATCCATTTGGTCCACTTGAAGCCGTATACACCGTACTTTCTTCTTGTTCCGAGTGAATGCCACATGATTTTTCTGTTCCATCTTCAAACTCACAGAAGACGAGACTTTGGCGAGTTGGACGCCCGTGATGCTATCCTGGGCTGTCTGGGCTCTCTGTAGTTTGTGTTGACGCGCTGGGCTGGGCCGTCCAGGATCCATGCAACTATGCACTGCTTCCAGGATCCATGCCCAGCTCGCAGCATCTCACGGACAGCGGCCCACTCTGTGGCTGGATGATGATCACAGCAGTGAGGATGAGATGCCTTTGGCCTCTCTCATCTGCATCACCAGTTCCCCAGAATTCATCCGTCACCATCGAACCGGCGAGGCCACGACCAGTGGCACGACCCGTCCAAAGAGCCATGTTGGGGCGAAGGAGGATGTGCCTTGGTTTGGCGACCGTGGGACCGTGGGACGGATGGGAAACGGCACAAGCTTCAAGATCAGACTGCTTTTTGGTGGGGGGTGGGTGGTTGGAATATTGAATCTGGTGTCGCCAGATAATCTACTTCGCAGCTACTGTAGTGTACCATCCAGGAATCTCGTTGCAGCTCTGCTGCACACATCCCAGCGATGATGAGGTACAGACATTGACTGATGAGGTCCAGCTGGTCAAGGTCATTCCTGCAGTTGTGGATCTACTTACTCCGCCAAAGGAACGACCGGCACGGCCTCCAGCATCACCGTGCTCACACTTGATGCGCGTGGGAAGCAACAAAACAAGAGCTCCGGATTTGCAAGTGAATGCGGAGGTGATCACTCCCAAACATGCTTCTGTGAAAGCTGAAGTGGTCACTCCAAAACGGGCTTCGCGCAAGGGACAGCGAGTGAAGATGGAGGTCTTCACTCCCAAACGCGTGTTGCGGGTTCGTCGGGAGGTTGGGGTGACACCTTCCGGCAAGAGACACCCTTTGCATCCTCTATCACCCAATCGCAGCTGCTTACGTGGCTTTATACCGGTGCGTGCCTGCCACTTGAAGCTGGGTGATGTGTTTAGGGGCTTTCGGTGATTCTTCCCCCCACGAGGTGTGCAAGAAGGGTTGATATGTCACGAACAAAAGTAAACCATTTGAGTCTGTCAAATGTTCCGCGCTCGTGGTCCGATGCTCTTTTCTGTTCTCCCTTCTAAAGCATTTTGGAACCAACCCAGGAAGCAACGAGAACGGATTGCTTCCCTCTTTGGCGACGCTGGCTGGCCACAGCCTGCTGACTACGCCACAAGGGAAGCCATTGCTGAGTTGCTGGGCCTGCCATCGAAGGCTCCTCCAAAGGCAGTGACGCATCTTGCTTGGGCAGCCCGTCGAGATGGGATCTTGCACCTGGGTCTTTTGATACAGCAAGCTGCAGTTTGGTTGAGATACCTCCACTGGACGACCAGAAAAGAACACTACTGTACACACACATACATATATATATATATTATATAATTTGGAAAAGATCCCATCGCCCATGAAGACACATCCTTTTCGAACACCCGAGTCGGGGTCGAGATGGACAGCTTCCATCTTGCATCCCTTCAGAACCCCCTCTCCCCCCAGCAAGCTGGACGGACCTCAGCTGTTTCCAGCCCGACCTTGGAACCAAGGCAGCGAGAGGACCGCCTGCTAGCCGCCGCCATCGTCAGCGTCTACCGCTACCGCGACCGACGGCGCTGCGGGTGCCTGGAGTTCATCGTGTCCCGAGCGCGAGGACTCGGCACCAGGAGCGGAAGATGGGGAGAGGGAGGAGACAGGTGGAAACAGGTGGAGACAGGAACCATGGAGAAGTGGCGAAGGAAAACATGTTTGGGAACAAACAGTTTTTGTTTTTAGTGTGTTTTTCATCGGTATCAGCAGTCTGGAGGAAGTACTATCAGTCTTTGCCAGTCTTCTGGCTGGTCGTTTTCATGCCATTAACCAGCTAATAAAAACAACCTATATAAGTTCGATCCTGTATTATCATGGATTTTCATGGACAAATGGAGCCCAGCGATTCGCGCCTCGCGAGGTTGCTTCGATTGGCCCAGCGGTTCTTGAAAGAGCAGAACATCTCGCGGCTGTATTCAGGTGTTGACCTCTCTCGGCCCTACGCCATGGCTGCACACCATCGTTGGGGCTTTCGGAAGGTCACACAGCAACTTGCTATGAATGTTGGCTTGCGTACAAGCAGTGAAATAACCACAACTCCCCACCTGTCATCCAAGGCAAGCTTGGGCGGAAGCAGGTTTGGCCACCTACAACCAAGGCAAGGTGTTGTTTTGTTTCCAATATAATCCAATATATGCAAATATAATATAATATACAATATATATATAAAATATATGTATATTTACAATATATATAATATACTATATAATATATAATAAATATATATATACACATGTTTAAATCTCAACAAGATCCATAATCCACGGGTATTTTTGGTGGCCGCACTCCTGAAGGCGATGTTTGCTACATGGTTCTTGACATGGACGGTGGAGCTGATATGGTGACTCATCCTGAATCCTGAGCCAATGCAATAGGCTTTGATGTGAAAAATGGCTTGGGAACAAAGCAGATGCGAGTTCAAAGACCTTAAGGGACCCGAAGTGCCCGGATGGCCCAAGAGAACTACAATGAAATATCAGCTGAGAGCGATGGTTGCCTGTTGCCATACTTCATTCTGCCCAACTCTGTCCTTTGTAGCAAGCCATTGCGGATCCTTTGGCACTGCTCAAAGGGCTGTTCTTGCACACATTGCGAAGACGAGACAACAAAGCTGAAGATCCGAAGAATGTGACAAAAGCAGAGAAAGATGTTTTGGGTGCTATTAATTGAAGTCATCAGTGTTGCCATGATTGTCAAGACTGTTTATACGCCTTATTGTTTCCTGTGTCAATGGAGGTCTTTTTGACAAGGCACTGGCACTTCACCACTTTCAGACAAGTGCTTGGGCAAGGTCCTTTGATGCAAGACAGAGCTCATTCACTACTAGACTGATGAGTAGTCAGTTTGCTGGAAGGGGTTGTTTCGGCAGAGTAGTGGTTACCCAGCGAAAGACGTCCGACACCCAAAAACACCTTGTAGAAGACCCTAGCGGCCCTAGTCCTCTTTCCCTTTCAGACCAACCACCGGTACGGTCGTTCGCCTCGAGGAACCTCGTGGCTGATGTGGCTGATAACCATGTCCGCTTGCGTTGGTGGGCCCCGGAGAAGGCCATCGGTCTGGGTGGCTGGTTGAGTCAAGAACCGTGACGTGCAACACATTGGTTTCTGCGGGTCAAAAGCGGGTGAATCCTGGATCCACTTGGGTCGCTGGTGAGAATGAAGACCCAGATGACCAGCGATTTTTGACATGTTGGCCTTTAATGTTGGGTAGCAGCTCCCTTTGTTCAACAATTGATTTTAGCGCTTGAGCCCACTATTCACCAGTCCAGGTCGAGAAACACAGTGTTTCTTTGAGCGGAGAAGGTTGACACATCAGTATCTCCGCGCCACATCCTCTGACGGTAGTTCTCCCCAAATCCCACTTCCGCAGCACGTTTTCCCTGGCGAGTAATTTCATCCGCCCAGGATGGCGGCTTTCCAATCATTGCCTACAGGACCGTGTGCTGGTTGACTCGAGTGCTTTGGGCAGTTTCACAAGGGGACATGTACTCTCTCACTGTCACGTTCCATGGAAGTGGATGGCACCCCCTGTTCATAGAGGAACGTCGTCTTCCAAGGGAACCATGCCAGACTTCCATGTGATGTGGGTACGCGCTCTCGGTCAACACCCTTGCGCACGAGCTCGACCTTCCGGGTCTCCTGGTGCCATGACCCACAGCCACGTGTTCGTCCGAGCGAACACCGGTGCGAAGGACCACCGGTGGCTGCTCCGATTTGATCCGCCCGTCGTGTGAACAGATCTAACAGCTCAGCGCACGGCTGTGTACTGATAGGATCCAAGAGGAAGCAGATGAGGCAGTGGTTTCGATCTCGGTTGGGTTTGTTCAGGCGTTTCAGTGGCGGCTTTTTCTATTTGTTGGTGTGGTCCAATCACGTATGGGACCGGTTTCGCCCGTACAACACGGGCTCCATCAGTGCAAGCTTCTCTAGGGTCTACAGAACTACTAGTAAGGCACTTGTTTCTAATAGCTTCTTGTTACTCGTAGTAAGGCACTTGTTACTACTAGAAAGGCACTTGTTACTACTAGAAAGGCACTTGTTGCTACTAGAAAGGCACTTGTTACTACTAGAAAGGCACTTGTTACTACT